CTTCTGATAAAAAATATTTTTTATCTTCCCTCCCGTACAGACTACGATACAAGGTATTTATCTAATTTTACATTAAAGTGTCAAATATTCAATCTGCATGAACGCACTGGCATACTTTTCAACATTCAATGTTCTACGAGAAAAAATATATCAAACGTTTGCAAGCATTTCCACGCTCGTCAAAATTATAGCAGTTGTATTCAATTAACAGGATAAATGAAATCTGCATGAACTGCAGTTATCGCGACGTATTATCATAAATAATTTCTCCTTTAATAAAAAATCTCGTCGGGAGAGACTCGGCACGCGTAAATTAAAAATTTACAAAGCTTATCCACATGTCCCTCGTGCATCAAGACGCGTTGTAATTTGCATTAGCGCCGGGACATCCCGTCGCGCGTATTCGCGTCTTGCGGAATTACGAGAGCGGAAGATTTGTCCAGGGCGATAGATTTATCGCGGACGCGCACACACTGGCGGCGGGGTAATTCCGAATGCATGGCCGAGCAAGATTAAGGGGGAAATCCCGGGCGTCGCGGAGCGCGAAGGGGTGCGCGCCGCGCCGGGGCGCGATCCTTTCGCGCTTTTTCCGCGCGACGGCTTAAATATCCATCAAAGGGTGTTTCGGGGGATCCACGCTCGCCTCGGGGGGTTGCGGGAAACTTCCGCCGGAAGCTGTTTAGAGTTCCGACGAGTGTCAACAAAATGGACCGAATCGGAAGGGACCCAGCGAGAAGCCAAGAGCCGGAGTAAAGGCGGAGCCGGGCGGACCGGATTCGTACGACTCACTGATGTTTGCTTCTCCCCGCCAGTACTTGCGGGATTTCGCCGTATACCCGGTTTAGGGGCCACTTATCTGGCTGGTCTCCCCCACGGCAAAGAACTTTTCCGAAAGCGCGCAGTTAACTCGTCGAGCAAGGAATGGTCGCTAAAGACCTCGGACATTTCACGAGACTGTTTTTCTCGAGTGAAACGCGATTGTATTATTTTTTTTACATTAAATATTTTAACACGCTTTAAATATACGTTCCCAAAATTGTAATATATTTCCATTTCATTCGCATCACCCACAGAAAAAATTTCCGGATCCAATGCTGTTACACTTCAATGTATCATAAAACAGGACCAGGATAGCGCCAATTATATTTATTATAGAGAAAGGAATATTTTTATCTTAAATGAAAAATTCTAAACTCCGAGTCGTCTTTTGACGAATATCGTGGTGCCAAGTTCGTGCGTTGTAAGGTGGAGGGAAAATTTATTCTAAACGCAAGAATATATAAACTTACATTTAAACAAGTTACTCTTGTCTGAATGTAGTAAGTCAATCTTTTTTTAATTCGATAAAGGAGAATAACAATTATTGAGTTTATCTTGATATTGTCTTGTTTTTATACTAAATGAGGTTGTGAGAAATATAAAGGCGTCAAGAATACTTTTGGTCTCGGTAACAGAAATCCTTTCTGCGAGTGCTCCAGGCTCAAAATCCGACAATTTTCAAATGTTTCGCATACCAAACTCTTCGCGCGAGTTTCTACATACCAAAAATTTGGCGAATCCGTTGGAATAATTTTATCCATCGACTAAACGAATTAGGTTCTCTCGCTGGAAACTGCGACCGTCTCTCAAATTTTTAACGAACGACAGCGAACGCGGCGGCTCGCACCAAAAAGCGATCGCGTTCATTTCGGGGCGCCGTTCCTCTTTGTCGCGTCACTCGGCGCGCAATTGGCCGAATAAGCGGGTGGGATCTCCTCGACGTTCAATTTCATCAAAAGCCCCGGGTGCGCCGTCGAGAATGCCGTTTCCCCGGCGAAAGTCCGGGCTCGGGGTAAACTTTTCGTCGTAGCCGTTTCGTCGTCGGATGCCCGATACAAATAAGCCCACGGTCGTTTCGCCTTTACGACACGGCGCGAAGATGATACGTCTCAGAATCTAACGTCTCTGCCCCGGTATAGCGGACCCGCAAGCCCATCCTGTCCCCTCGACGAACACGCAATGCGTAATGAAAACTGCGTAGCGCCGCATACGCGTCGGAAACGCGCGCGAGTTATGCTGATTTTATGATGGACCGTCGGACCGAGGGCACGTCATGCGCGCCGCGAATATCTGCGTGTTATCGTGAGACGATATATTGTCGCACCGATTCACCACACCACCGACGAATCCGCGGAGATAACGTCTTCTCGTCTCGCGCGGGTCTGTTACGATTATTTATAGCTTAGGCCCTACGCCCTGTGCCCTATTTATCTCGCGAATGCGACAAATGCGAGAAAAATGCCGGACGAAGTGCCGGCGTGCTTTAGCGCATAAACTCTTATCCCTAATCTCTCGAGATCGGTAATCGTTACTCAATACGCGAAAAAGGGGGCGAAGTAAAGTCGGCATTTCTGCATTCTGATTTCTCCTTTATCTAAATGTATTATCGGCATTCAACCGATACTTTTCACTTTGACGTGACGTTTATGTTATACCTTTCGGCTTTCGAATCGCCTTTCCATGTAGCGGGCGGGCAATCGTAATTTCGTCGCGCCATCCCGGTTCTAGCTCTCCCTCGAAGACAGAGAAACGGGAAGGTTTGTCGATCTTCCTCGTCGCGGTTTCACTCGCGAAATTTAAAAAACGCAGCAACGAGACAATGCGCCTGCCGCAGAGGCGGAAGTAGCCTCCCGTTAAAACGAGGTCAACACCGGCGCCGGTGCTGCTGGCTGCACACAACGCGTGCCACGTGTGTCGCATAAATAACGCCGGTTTACATTTTTACGACGCTCCCGAATGGATGCTACGCAGTCATTTATCCGTCGAGGGTTCTCGGTGGAATTACGACTGCGCGCGGGACAAGACAGCGCGACGTGAGCGACTCGCAAGTTGCTGCACTCGATGGCTACGGAGATGAACGCGACTGTTTCAGCCAATTAGACATAGTGCACGGATGCTGTGGCTAAGAAACTCTTTGAAGGAGCGACAAGGATTTTGCAAAGATCGAAAAATAAAATACCCATGCTCGAAGAAGTGTAACATCGAAATCGAAAAGTTAGTTGGCGCAAGCCGACCTTAGAAATTCTCCGAGAGGCTCTTTTACGGAAAAAAACGTTGTATTTAATATAATTTTAATTGTGAACAATTTAATAAAATATTAATTATTAAAAGAGAAAGCATTGTTCTTTTGTAATTTTTATTTCCAGGTATTTGTCTCCCCATTTCCTCAGATTAATTAAACGATAATTAACTATATTAATTTCCGTGCCTCGGTAATTTTTTAAATTATAAAGATGATGCACAGGAGAACACGCGCGCGTTATACGCCGGCGAAATAACTTAAACTCGCGGAAAGTGCGGAAATATTATTTACGGATAAAAGCACGGGCAGAAGCGCCGAACGGAATTGCGCCCACGGCTTCTTTATGTCGCTGTATAATGACCATCCTCCATGCACGAGACGCGACTTCACCATTATTACTTCCGGAAAGTTCATATATATGAAGTGCTTTCTGTCGCTACTATCCCGCCATTGTCACCCAGTGACTTATTGAAGTATTTGGAGTTAATCTTTCCCTAATTTCCCGTTAAAATTTCCAGGTTCTGCACTTTTCACATATTTTCTTATTACGATTACATACTTCTACAACTGACTCAGGTAGTCAACTCTTTTTATTAATAAAAACATCGCAATTTTGTTTAAATAAAATTAAGTAAATTAGTATTAAGAGGCAGATCTTCGCTGTATCAGCGTCTTTTTCCATGGATATCTTTAAGAATCTTACGTGTCACAAAATTATCGAAAGTTATTCTCTCGTGCAATGAGAAGCGAGATAGATTTTTCATATCGTATAACTGTATAAACTTACATCATTGTAATATAAAGCATGAAAACTGGATATTTCTTGTACTCCGAAATTAGGGAAAGATTAACTTCAACGATAATCACAAAACAATCTGTTGTTCACATTAAAAAGAAAACGTAAGTAGATATTGAAACAATTTGCACCGTTGAATTGAAAAATAATACGATAGATTAGTTTCTCTTTACTAAAAAATAATCTGTTTCTAGTCTTACACCGAGTATGTTCAAAGTGTATTACTTGCTCACGTAATAGAGCGCGTAATAATTTAATCGAAAGAATTCGTTTGCATGCATGCAGCTTTCGAAGAGTGTGCGCTTTACGCAAAATCTCCAGTGATAAATCATTGTTATGAAATGCGCGCTCGCTTAGCACAGTACATTTCTCCTTTTTTTGTAAAACTGATCGAACGTTATTTATAAAATATCGTGGCCGATAACAGTCGCGGATAGTGGTTCATATTCCATCATCGTTCGCTTATTTGTACGTGTGCGAAAACGCGGTTATTCAAACCGCAGATTGTAAGCTTATCGCAACATTTTGCCGACAAACGATTTGCACAAATATAACAAGGCGACGCAACAAACTACATTCAATTGTGCAAGTCACTTTATGCAATTGTACTGCGTCGTAATTAGGAAACATGTAACAATATTTCATGATGGATAAATAAGGTTCGTGTTTCAGTTCATCTGCCTTATTAATATACAAATATTGTGCAATAGTTTAATGTTATAAAGTTTAATGTCACAAATACTGTTACAAAGTTCAGGAAATAAAAATATTACATATTAAAAATAAGGATATATATATATGTAATTTTTTTATCTATATACTAAACATAGCATATGCTTTGCTGTTGTAGTCTACGTCGTAATGTACGATTGTTATAGACTAATTGTTGAAAATCGAAATTATTATATTAATTTATATTTCCTCTAATTTTATACTTTCTTAAATAAAGCTCTATGATTACTTAATAAAAAAATTATAGAGCACTCAAAACGTCTTTCTTTTAGGTGTAAACTCAGAAAACTTCAACGTATAGTTTTATCCGTAACTTTTATTCGAGTCATTTGAATAAACAAGACAAACAGAAAGCAGATGCTTCATTTTGCAAGTAGCAGATAATATACATATAAAATATAAAAAACTTACCTTGTGGTTGCTCCGCTGTTGCCCGATACCTCCTAGGCCTCGATCACCTGTCATTGTCCAGATTTCCTCGTTGCACTCGCACAATATTCACTCGCGAAAATTCTAAGTTACGATCGCGCGCAATTTTTCGTGGCACTCCCGTACACGATGTGAAATACCGCTAAACGCACAATTTATTATTAACGTAACTTGACTTGCCGATAAATCACTTAAACCGCGTCAACTTGCAAGCGCGATGCGTAAACGAGATGTCGCGGAAGCGCGACGAAGCACCACGGTTTACACTCATATTTAAAATAAGTTAGTGAAATATCTACGTTGATAAAAAGCCGTCGCCTCGACGTGCAAATCGTTTCTCATTATAAGTTGTAGAAGCTCAATAAGTAATCGACGAACGTTGCTTATTACTGACAAACGCGTACAAATTAAAAGTATTTTATTCCCATACTCGTCGCGATCGCGTCTCGGAGAGTGATAAGCGAAAAATAATACGACGCACGGAGCGACTCTCGACACTGCGTGCCGGCTCGACGTTCGGCGGGCGAATGATTACGCGGTGACCTTCGCGTACACAATAGTACGCAGAACGTCGCACGATATACCGTGCGGCGAGAACAACAAAAATAACCGTTGAGATTTCGTTGTCCCGCACACGAAATTAAAATTCCTATACCCAGTGCTTCAAATCACTTTGTTCAATGATTGTTACTACACGTTTTACGTATCATTCGGCGGACTCATTAGCGTTTCTTAAGATAACGATTGACTCCGTTCAAAGAAGAAACCGTATTTAAACATAGATTCTTGTCACTTAAATTTTAATTGCTGAGAGATTTTGTCTCAATTCAGTTGACGTGTACAATTACCTAATTGCAAATTTTTATTTATTACGAGCAAGCTTTTTAATTCTTTCCTTTACCAGTAACAGAAATTGATCGAGATTAAATACTTGATTTAAAATGAATTAGACATAGCATTGCACGCACTATTTGGCATAAATTTATATTTTTTTCGTAATCTTCTTCATCCATTAAGATTTTCTTCGCGCAAAGAAGAAGATGTAATGACCTGATTTCGACAAACTATTAAAATACATATGATTACTATTCCTACAGAATTTCCGGATCCGATGCTATTAAACTTCAATGTATCAGAAAGTAGGATATAGCGCCAATTATATTTATTATAGAGAAAGGATTATTTTAATCTTAAATGAAAGATTCTAAATTCTAGAATCGTCTTTTGTCGAATATCGCGGTGCCAACTTTGCGCGTTGTAAGATGGAGGGAAAATTTATTCTAAACGCAAGAATATATAAACTCACACTTATATCAGTTAGTCTTGTCTCAATATAGTAAGTCAATCTTTTTTAATTCGATAGAGGAGAATAAGAATTATTGAGTTTATCTTGATATTGTCTTATTTTTATACTAAATGAAGTTGTGAGAAATATAAATACGTTAAGAATTTTGTCTCGGTAACAGAAATCCTTTCTGAAGGGGTACGTTGATAGCTTGTGGCACAAAATAAGTCAGTCAGCATCGCGGAAAAGTGTCAACAATTAAATTCCTTGCATACCTTTGTTAAAAGACAATTGTATAGCATTTACTACTATATTTTTATGTAGTATATGATACAATAATGTATTGAATGATATATGTAGAAACTTAATTCATTAGACACTTGGAGTAATAAATCTAATATAATTTAATATTACCATACACTGCGCACATCTCTGTAATATCGGATTATACTTGTGTGTCTATATTAATATTTAATTTAATATTAATACGTGTAATTATTCGCTTAATTGCATTTATATTCATATCGCTATCTATATTATATTGCAAAACCACTTCATCGTCGCATGATTAATCAGCGAATTACAGGCGACTTGATAAATACCGGTTTACGTAGAATTCTGCTATTTTTACGGATTTTCAGTAAAGCAAACGCGATAGAAAGGGTGTGCACGGCCCGGCGTGGCGGGCACACGCGTCAAAGCCGGAAGTTCACGCGTACGTGGATTCAAATTAATTTCCCGTCGTGCGCCGGCTCATTTCACATTCCAACAGAGCGCGTGGACGCGAATCGCGGTGTCAAGCGTGCGCCGGGCCGTCGTAGAGCGAATTCCCCGCCAAATTGGATACCACCCCCGGATTTCATAAACCGACTCTGAAAAGCGCGCGAGCCCGTCCGTTCTTTCGTTCGCTTTTTCGCTCATTCGGGAGAAGAGTATCATCCTGACCGACCGCACCGCACATTCGGAAGAAAAAAAATCCCTCCGCCCTTCGGGCGATGAAGCGGCCGATCGGGCGTCGCTCGATTGTCGCCATTCAAGCGCGGATTTTTCATTGATTCCTGTAGACCGAGGCGGACCGATAGAATAGCGTCGGGCACCATCCACGTAGATGGCACATGTCCATCTCTCCGTTTCAATCCGGACACTGGAATCCCGTTGGACATAATTTTGGCTGGAACTCAGCGTTGCCGGACGCTGGAAATGCTCGTGCTTCATCGCGACAAATAAAGATCGTGAATAGATTTAATATTCGCGAAGTAGTACGGGAAAAACGTTAATTTTTGCACAGCTTCAATTCGACGCCCATGATAATTACAGTATCACTTATTAATAGAATGCGCTTAACCCTTTGAAGCATACACTTTTCTATTAAATTTCTTTTTTTTTTGAAACTTTGTATACAAGGGTTTTTGGAGTCGCTGATTACGAATCCGTTGTCAGATGTTCATAATTCAAAGTGGCGGATTCAAGTTCATTTATAAAACTTGTACAATGAACGTTAAAGACTACTCAACTCTATTTTTATGTTCTTTTATTGCTAAGATATCCAAAAAATGCAAAAAACCCGACCTAAATGCGTTAACTAGAAATTAAATGGCCAAAGAGTAAAGAAGTTGAGGTGGTAACGTGGGTTACCACGATGCTTCGAAGGGTTAACGGAACTCGTGCACTTGTAACTTAACGTTATCGGACGTGGCGCTGGGTGACGATTATCGTTGTAAAGTTAACTAACAAATTGCCGCAGTTTTGTTAACCCCGACGAATTTAATAATCTTTCGCAGCGCAAGCTTGTCAATACTCATTTTCGCTGCTCGTTTGTTTGCATAAGCCCTACAGTCGATAACCTCGTCATTTATGCGGGTCTATGCTAATCTCCGGATTAAAAGGTATAAAGGAGGGATTCCAGCGAGTATCGATTCCTCGTCGACGCGTGGAAAATTATACGCGACGTTGAACTTTGAGGAAATAAGGTCTGGCTTCCGAGGAAGAAACTCGTGGAAGAAAAGATATAACGAGTGACTATCGAAAGGGGGCGGTGATAAAAAGGGACGAGAGAGCTGTAAGACGGTGATTGCGATTGCACAAAGGAATTCCGTGGTAATCCATTGGCGAAAGTCGTGTTACGCCGTCTGACGAACGATTTTCAGAAGCCGCGCAAAAATTGCGTTCAGTCATGTAGCAGTCGTAATAGATTCAGTCGAACTAGATTTAATTCCCTCTTCGATGTTCCCTTCGTTCTCTTCTTTCGCGACATCCTTTCCGACCAACACGCGGCTCGAAAATACTTATTGAGATTTTATCTTGCGCGCATAAATCAATCTCTCCGATCAGACAATAGATGGGACAGCAGTTATCGATAACCGCAGTACTACAGTATTGCGCGATTTCGTATATAGTCGCATAATAATCGTTCGTGAATGACAGGCATAAACCCTCGAACATTATGTACAACTTAAAATAATACACGTTTCTTTTAAACTTCGCTTAAACGACGACATAAAATGTTGATACATAAAATTAGATAAAAATTTATTTCGCGGCGATGTTAAAACACAGTAATAATTAAATCAAGATTACGGGCTTTCTAAAAGTTGGACGGCTCTTTCGGCGCGTTAAGAAAAAGGCGATTTTTTTCTCATCGCTGAAACACTCGTAGGAACCCGTATTTAAAATTGCATGAATTCCGCGCGGATGTACTTGGGCAAAATTCATTGGATAACTATTATGACGCCAAGAAATAGGGATAATTAAACTCAGATCAAACATTTTTGCAGCTCGGTCGAATCTCGCGGGAGGGGGGAGGAGGGGTGGGAAACGCGGTGATAAAAAAGCAATCCCTCCGGAGAATTAACCGGTGGGCGGCTGACAGAGGTTTCCGACCTAATCTTTAATTAAACTTATCTGGATTCCAATATCCGGAATATTAAAAGTTTGGCAGGAATTGCGGTCGGCCGAGTGATGTGTGATTAAATATGGAGCTGATCCCGATAGACTCGTGCGGCTGAATTCATTTTCTCCCCGTCGTCTTCATATCGACGGGCTGTCTTCGCCAGGTTAGCCGACAACGGAGAAGATCAACGGCGGAAAAGAGAGAAAGGGGAAATTACCGGGGCGTAAGGGAAGGAGTGAAATTCGCGATAAAGATTTTACGACAATTTCGAGAGGACACCTATTAAAGAACATCTTTGAGTGGCATCGAACGCTTGCTTGGTCCTCTCGATCTATCGGCGATTCGGACTTCGACTCTCGTCTCTCCGAGGGTTACATCCTGAGGGCACGCGAGCGATCGTTACGGTCGATTGCTCTCGATTAAAACTTTATCGAACTGTCGGAAGTAATTCGTGTCAAGTTCGCGTAATAATGGACCATGTACGGGATATAAAAATTAATTGTAACCCTGGATTCAATTCGGTTCTATACATAGAAATATTCTTTTCCTTCGTAATTGCAGTAAAAGCAATGCCGCTTCGTCGCTGCACGAATTATCAACAGAAAATGTTATAATAAATATTAATTAAACGGATGTTCCTCACGTACGTCCCATCCCTGTCGGTTTCCAAGAGTGTAATAATTTTAAAGCTTCTCTCTCTCTTTCTCGTCAATTAGATTTAACACTGAAATTTTCTCTTTTAATCAATTCGTATAATATCATATTAATGTCATATATGATATGTGGTGCAAAACATTTCAAATTCTATGGAGATAGATGCTCATGATTTTTACTAAACACAGTTTGAACCGCGACGCTACTTACAGATGAAACCTTAGACGAGAATATAAAATTTTCTCTGTGATGGTTGTAAAAGGAATTTCGTTGTCATGTACTCTCTTGCATTACGAATGAAGAATTAAAAGTCTCTTTTTTTTTCAAAAACGTGGAAATTCGAGAATGCGCGATGAGCGCGGAGTGCCTTCCTATGTCGATAACGATTCCGACTGGTGATACAAAAGGCGGACATGTGCGGGCATGAATCATTATTTAATAACGCGGCGGGGAAACGCCGAATATCGCGAGATGAAGCGTTCGACGAGCCAATAGGCCGTAAAAAAATCGGGATTTCAGCGCACCGCTGTACGGCAACGGCGAATCGCGTTTCACCGCGATGCAGCCGGCGTCGATTATCGACAA